GAAATATTATAAGTGATAAAATAATTCAAAAAGTTTATATTTCAAAGTTTTAAAGCTTTAAGCTGATGTAAGTATTTCTGAATAATTTTCATTTTGTATTCGGTATTTTCATTCGAACACATGCTCAGTACAGGGGAATTTTCTTGGATTCACAAAGGTTAAATATGTTATATGTAACTGGTGAATATTTAGCTAACACCATTGTACAAATATTAAAAGAAAAAAATGTAGATCTTGCACTTAGTCGAGGACAAGGGATATGATGGTGCCGCGAATATGTGAGTGGTGCGTTTAAAGGAGTACAAACATTGTATACTCATTGTGCTGACCACAGATTACATTTAGTGCTCAGTAAAGCAAGTACGGTACCTTCAATTCGCAACACAGTCGGAATAATAACAAATATTTACAACTTCTTAAGAGAATCTGCTTTAAGAACTCAACTTTTGAGTGAAAAAATTACAGAACTTTTTCCACTTCAAAAATCGGTAAAAGCTAAAAAGCTGTGTGAAACACGTTGGTTCGAAAGACATGATGGGATTTTAAATTGTTTGGAAATATTACCGGCTATTATAGTTACATTAGACGAATTAAGCCTTAGCAACCATACAGGAAGCAATGCACAATCTCTATCTGCAGCTGTAAATATGAATTGTTGATTTCCTTAAGAATATTAAGGACATTTTTAGCTTACACTTCCACTTTCAATTCAGTTACATTGCGGGGGTCGCCACTCGCCACTCGCCAACAAGTCGATCTTACTAGGAATATAGCTTTATAGGTCGATCATTATAAAAATAAATCTTACCGTTATCGGTCGATTGCGTAATAAATAATCAGATAATGTGGATAATAGTATTCTGATAACTGTATTCTAGGAATTTACCTAGAATTTTTTTTCACTTTTTCTCGTGTATTATTATTATTATTATTATTATTATTATTATAATTTTATCATCATGAAGAAACAATAAATATTTATTCTATGGAGCTTAGACTTTTTTTTTGCTCATACAACAAATCTCTTCCTAAAGACCTGAATTCTCCTGGATGACGATCACCAGGGTCTTAAAATTTTAAATGTAGCTCACTTCTCTGAAAAGGTTGGCGACCCCTAAGTTACAGAGTATAAATATTGACTATTCACAATTCATAGAAATGATCAACAACAGTATGAACATACTGTAGTTATATACTGTATGTTCTCGGACCAATTCTATTAATTTGTCTTCCATTTTTAAAAAAAATTGACCACGAAGGTGAAAAAAACTGGAATTTTGAATTAAAACGTGACGGGACGTACAGCTAAAAATGCGGATGTTCAGAAAACAAAAATGTGCTTTCACGCAAAACTTTGGTGATGTTATGTAACTAACATGACGTGATAACAGTGTGGCTCTGTCACATTTGTTACTAAAAGGTTTAAACGAAGGCAATCGAATTATACTTCTTAAACAGTTTTATTAAAATTCATAAACGAACAACATACAATACACAAACAGAGCCCACAACCGGTACTCTGAGACTGGCTGTGGCCTGTGACCACGACTGGATGGTCAAGCCATAGAGTAATTACTCTATGGGTCAAGCCCTTAACAAAACAGGGTAGCCAACACATTAAAGTATATTTATAAACGATACTCGGCATATTTTTATAATTATGTGAGCTCAGGTGACAATAATGTGTTTATACCTTAAGAATTGTTCAAAGACATTTGATGTTATCATAGATGCATATTTAAAAGCTTTCATTGAATAATCAACCTTTTCTGACTTATTTTTCCAAAATTGTTTCCATAAATTAAACCCACCGCGTAGTGAGGTAAATTGCTTCATGTTTGAGTTGCGTTCAATCGTCTGAAGTTTCATAGACAAAATAATATTAATAATTAATAACTAGGTAGGTAATATATTCAATATTGTACGCTCAGCCCCAATCAACTGATTTATCTGAATTCTACCACGTTAACTATTTTCTACCTTATTTGCAGTGCCGTCTTAAATCCAAAATTTTAAGGGCCCTAAATTCACATAGATTACATTATTTATTGAAAATCATAATTTTGAATTTTTTTAAAATCAAATAGACTAGAAGAAACATTTCCAAACATAATAATATCTTTCCGAATTTCTTCTAATCGAAAAATAAACGTTAGATTTAGTTTTAAATAAGGCGTTTATAAAAAAAAAAAACAAGAAAAATGCCTTGAAAAATTTGATTCAATGCTGGTGAATATTATAGAGCTCTATAAAATGCCCGGATTAACTAAAAGCTAATTTAAATAAAAGCAAAATAAAATTTATACAGGTAGGTATATTATTTTTATTTTGTGTTTCATTATAGCACTGGCCAATGAGACGCTATTTGATATTTTCAAATAAAAATCTTCCATAGTTATTTGCAAATGTTGCCTTGTATAACTGAAATCATAAATCATAAGAGCGAAAATAATACGCAATGAAAATATAAATAGTAGTATAAGAAATTATTTTTAATTTCCTTGAAGTTTTTATGAAATTCTATTAGTTTTTATAAAATATAAATTGTAAGAATTGTTATCTATAACTAGGGTACCTACCGATTCAAATATAAATTTAATTTTTAGAAGACATTGCGGTCCTAAAAAAAAAATTGGTTACATAAATTAATGAAACGAAAAATAAAATTTTTATTTTGCATTTTTTGAAACTTTTTGGATTTTTAGAACATTTGTTGGCATTTTTGAGGGATTTTGTATGGCTTGAGTACATAATTTAACGTAATTTTTCGTACATTTTATAAGAACCAATAGAATTTCATAAAAATTTCAAGAAAATTAAAAATAATTTTTTTACTACTACTTCTACTTTCATTGCGTATTGTTACCTAATATATTGTACACAATAATAAAATATAATATACTATTTATGGGTTAATAGGATGATTAATTGATTACTATATAGCCTATAGGTATAATTTTGTTCGGTCAATATAAAGTTCTTAATTATAATCTTCAATTTTTTACTTTAGATACGCCTACCTATATTTATGTTTTTACATTTTGTGATAACGAAATGGCCAAGTTCCGGTCAAATTATAGATTTCCTGGGCCGAATAGTTGCCCCAGTCCGTCTCCGTCAAGTACGTATCTACATGTAGTAATTATACCTCAATTCAATTCTAATCCATTAAACATTATACTTCAAACTTCTATACAAATGTATGACATCATCCATAATTTATACATTGGTGTATACTTATAGATGGATAATATAATATAAATAGATTATTTCAATGAATCATTATCTACTTCAATTAATCAGCCTACCGAATCAATTTTTTTTAAGTATTCATCCTCAATTAATCGTATATTGTTTATCTTTTCAATGTTTTGATAACACTTCTCCCCCTTAAACCACTCCGAGCTCATATTGAACTGTTTAGTTAAAACCAGTAAACTTGATGGCTGATGAGTATTATAATAATATATTGAATAATAATTTTATAATTCATAAGTATCGACGTATCGGTATATATAGAATATCGATACAATATTCAAAATTAGATAAAGTATGAAATACTTTAATACTATACACACTTTAGGGTATCATTCATACCTACTTATATATTTACATGCATAACTTAAGTTTGAAAATAATAAATATATACATTATCCCACACCACTCTTCTATAAAAAAACCCTTCTCCTGAAAAAAAGCTTGAAGGTCTACATTAGGATTTGGGAATTTTAAATATTCGAAAATTTCAAATGCTTATAAATAGCTTAATATTAGTTTAAATATTTTGAAAATATCATAAAGTATAGAAAATGATAATTTTAATAATATTGGATTTGTTTATAGTTTCTAAAATTAATACACTTTGAATTACATCAAAAAAGCTATAATAGAGTTATAATGTTAACTCAATTAAAGTTTGTCTTAATTTAAACTTACGACACTCAATCTTGTAATGAATTTTCAAACCTCAGGTAGGTATCATATAAATATTTTTAATTAAAAAAAAGAGTGTAAGTGGATGTCACTCTGCTGTACATTAGGTGTCTAGTAGGTTGTTATAATGGATGGTATTAAATTTGAATTTAATGATATGATATAATTGACTATTGTAAACGATAAACAATTCTAAGCAGAGACGGTGTGTCAGTCTAGGATATTTAAATATTTAATATTGTTTTTACTTAATATTAATGTGGTAACCAGCAAGTTAAATCAATATTATTCTTAAATTATCAATGATGCAGGAAAATTTTTTTATGAATTTGGAACCAAATAATTTATTAATGTTCGTGATTTTAACAAATTTTGTAAATATTTAAAATCTAAGTTCTAATTTTCAAGTTTTTTGACCAAGTGAACATTTTTTTATCAATATTAGTTCAATAAAAACTAATAATAATCACAAATATCATGCCTGTAAATAATTCAACACTAGTAAAAATTTTTGAAAATAGTATGTTTCAAAATGCAGATATATGTATTAAAAATTTCATGTATCTACGGAATTAGTTTTAGAGTTTCATAAAAAGCCAAAATCAATTTTGCCAATTCCAGTTTTTCCTTAATTTTTTTATTGTTTTTCCTGCCGCTTTTGAAAACTATTGAGAATTTGTTACTTTTGATCCAAAGTACCAACTGGACTCACTTTCCAACAGAAATTATGTTGTTGAAAAAAATTAAAACACTTTTACTGCCCTAAACTCTATGATGACAAACACAAAAAAAAAAAAATACAAATATCATTGTAAAATCAATATATTCATCACTCGGCTCAGAACCTAAAAGGTATATAATATGTATAGACATTTTGTTTTGAAATTTTATCAGTAAGTTTTTTTCAGTAGATCATAATATAAAAGCTTTATAATTTATACCTTTTAAATCAAGAACTAATAAGAACAATAATTTGTTATAAAATCTATTGATTTATTTTGATTATAATAATTATATAATATGTATACAAAAAAAAATGGTAAACAGTATAAAATATAAACACAACATATTAATTCAATAATTTATTCTTAAAACATTTTGAAAGCATGGCAATTAGATCTTCCCATTCTCAATATAACAACTGTAAATAATTCACTAAAACAACTTTGAAAATAAATAAAAACAATAAATATATATATATATATATCTAAAACAATACTATAATAATTAAAATATGTTGTGCTATTTCAAACAATAAGTAGCAATGTGCCATATTATTAATGATCGAGTATTCTCAGATTTCCAGACACTATCTTGTTCTCGAGAGTGGCATTTGAAGGGATGTCGATTCTATCTCCATGATTTGCAATTATAATAACAGTTCCCTAAAAACAATACATTATGTTATATATAATATTTTTTCTTATACACAATTTACAAATACAGAACTCAATTCTTACTTTCAAAGAAACATTTCGACCAAATGTTACATCACCAGAAACTGTTAAATGATCCAATTCCAGTATGTCAGGAATAGTTGCAAAACGAGACAAAAAGTCTTTTACTTTTGCAAAATCTTTATCGCCCAGTTTAACTAACGGAGTTGTAGGAAACATTCTCAATGGACTCATTGACAATGATCCATTTCTCATGTGGTACAAGTTGCTCATCACCAATAAAAGATCAGAGGTTTTTTTAACTGGTAAGAAACGACTTCTTGGTACATTTATACCTATATTTTTTTACATACAAAAAAAAAGGGTGAAGAAATTTAAAATTATTAGAAAAACATTTTTTTAATTTTACATACCAAGACCACCATTAAAAGATTTCATAGCTGCACCAACTGCTGTTTCAAGTTGAATTATATTTAAATTGTTGTCCAATGTTTTATTATTGACTATAATTTCCAAATTCATGGATCCTTCGTTTAAAACTTTATCAATAGCATCAAGTTTGATCCATAAGTTGTTAGTGTTAAAAAACTTAAACTTTTTTACTGATTTAAATTCTTCAAGATGTTCTTTAGGAACTTGCGCTATTTCCAATAGTCTCAATTTATTCTCATACTGAATTAATGTACCACCTTTAACATCAGCTTTAGTTTTATTGGTAACTTCCATTACAAATTCAAGAGGATTAGTTCCACGGTCTAATAACATATTGAGGATATTTAGGTCAACAGTTGCACCTAAGTTGTCAATGTTTGAGATGAAACAATAATCCCGACCCTAAGGAATTAATAGTATTTATTAATTAAATACTTAAAATAAAAAATTGTATTTGGTAGTATTTAGAATGTATATATCTGGCTTATATACACACAACCTAAGGAATAAACATTCTACATAATAAATATACATATACATTGAACTGTCTCCTCTTAAGAGAATGTCAGAATAACGCTTATTACACAGAAGTATTTATCAAATATTCATTATAGCAAAACCACACTTGTTTTTCAGGAAAATAAAATAAACAAAACTTATTAACAAAAATACTGAAGCAGTAATGTATTAATCTGGTACTCTATATAGATGATTTTAAATACTTATTAAAATAAACTAACATTTGTTTAATGTTAACTTCTGGATCATCGAAAAAAAAATATGATTGAAAAAATGCTGGGAAAGTAACTAATATCTTAATAGTATATTTTGAAATGTTCAGAGCAAACCCTGCATCAGAGCTTGTATATATAACACAGAGATAACAAATCATATACTATGTAAATTATATCATTTAATAAATATTAAAATACTTACGCTATCAATAAACTTTTGTAATAATCCTGAGTTTTTAAAACTATCATAGAAATCTCCGTGACCTGGAGGATACCAACTAAAATACAAAATAAGCAATTTATAGTTAATACAAAATTAAATGTTGATATAATTTATCAAACTAACGCCTCAATGTTGCCTTCAATATCACAGTCTTGTGCAATTGGTAGAAGTGATTCTTTAGATACTCGAGGAAAACAGCTTTGGTTAAATGTATATATCTCTACTTGAAGTCCTTTATATTTTCGAATAATTTGTTCAGTATCTTTATCCGTATTAAAAGAGTTCATTAAAACCAATGGTACATTTACATTGTATTTTTTATTTAAGTGCTGTCAAAAAATGGCAAAATTAAAGGTATGATGAAAATAATTTTTGTTGTGATAATCACTTACCTCAATTTGTTGAACCGTTAAATCAAGGAAGGTAAGATCATTTCTGACTTGTATAACAGACTTTGGACCACGGCATCCCATGGATGTACCAAGACCTCCATTAAGTTTAACTACCACCAATTTTTCAAGCTTAGAATGAATATCATCGGGGCTTGGTTTCGATAAAGTATCATAATCTCGTATCTATATTATATTGAATAAAATATATTTATACAATTAAAAAAGGATGTCTAAAGATATCATTAAACTGAAATTCAAGACCATACATATTTATTTGGAAAACAATAATATCTTAGTATCTATCTAATAAAAACTTACTGTTGTATAAAGTAACATTGAATGGATCTTACAATTTGCATTATCATGAATTATTAAAAATTTCTGTCAACGTTTAATAATATATTTGTTTATTTAGTAAAAGTTTATCAACCAGGCATAATAGCTATATATACTTATAACAATAAGTGTAAAATTAACATTTACCAACATTTTAATTTTTAGATATTCATAATTTATGTTTTTGGGGGGAAAAACAGAAATTTATTTGTGATTATTTACAATTCATTATATTTTTCAATTAAGCCATAAATTATGTACATGATTATATTACTTAAATATATAGAACTAGCTCTCTGAGCGTCGCTGGGGGAGACCCCCCAGACCCCCGTGTTAGCCGAAAGTGGGTACCGATTGCGGAGACTGAGTAGTTGAAACTATAAAAATCGCGTTTGTAGGTGTCGTTTTAAAGGAGGGAACATTTGAATGTCGAGTTGGGGGCTCTAGAAATTAGCGGTTAAAACGGCTCGATACATCCAGTCTTGTTTTTAATACGCGAAACCAAAAGCTTGAGTCGGAGCACCGTATTTATGTGTCTAGCAGGTCAGTCACGTCAAGGTGAAAATCGATTAAAATAAAGTTCAGACATCTAAGTAAGCCATCCGACAACGTCACATAGCCTACAATATGGGCCTGCATTGGTCTCTCGGTGTAACTTGCTCCGTCGGAAATGAAGGCCTCTGTCACATCCAGTGGAAATCGATTCACGTTTAACTTAGTCATCTAGGTAGGCAATCAGATTATGTCGGATAGAGGACAATGTGGGCCGGCATGTCAGGTATGCGGACACAGTGGTGGGCAACTATAAGTGAGAATTGTATTTGCAAAAGCCTATTAAAGGACATAATACATTAGCCCGGTGGGATCAAATTCGGTTCCTGCACTGGTTCTTACAATTCAAATATTAAATCAGTTATGGCATGTTTTTCTACCATGTTTTGTAACCAATTTAAAACTATCTGACATCATGAATAAATAATAAACTCAACCTTAAACACGGCAAGATTTGAAGTTGCTCCGATAAATCATAATTCAATAGACATAAAAATGATTTTTTCTATTAGATTATTTATATGATGATAAATTTACATTAGAACAGTCAAATATCAATGATTTCAAAATATGTTTTGTCTTTTTAATGAACAACTGTTTATTTTTCAGTTAAATGAAAAATTACTATATTGGTTCCTAGTTATAAAGTATAACAGTATAAGTCAATTAAAAAAATATTAGATAAACAAACAATAATTATCTGCAGGTCAAGTATTAGGTCGTCAAAACAAGTGAAAATATTAATAAAATAAATAAAAAATTATAATAATGATAATAATAGTTAATTTATTTATTAATATTCTTAATTAATACTGTATACTTACAGCATCAGTAGGCAATTTTTCAATTTTGTCCCAATCAACTGATGGGCCAGATTCTTCCAGGAAACGTTGAAATAAGCGCGAAAACGCTGTAAATTGAGACTTTGCTAAATCTCTTTTGTCATCTGATGTTGTTTTAAGCAAAGCGGTCATTTCTTTTTCTAATTGTACCAATGAATCACGTTGAGTAACTTCTTTGAACTCTTTCAAGTCTGTACTTGAAGGTACACGAGAGTGTCCTTTTGGCTGTAAACAAAAATTCAAAATGTAGGAATACAACTAAATCTAAATAAATATTTTGCTTACATTATTTAACATAGCATGAATTGTGATGCGTTATTATAATATACTATACAAATATTGGGAATTATACTAATAGGTAATAACAATACATTTTAATGTTGTGAATAAGAATGATATTTTGTGTTTCATTAAAAATTTTTTTTTAAAGCAAGACATAAAAAAAAACACCAATAATTAATAAACATTTTTTTAAAATTGTGTGCAGAAGCCATATTATTTTAATGAATACATTTTTTTTTTTTTTAATGTAATAATATACTTGGTACAATAAATAGGAAAATAAATATAATACTAATGTTGACAATTTCTCATACTCATTAGTCATTACTGTCTACTCAATAGACAATAAAATTGTATTCCTAATAACTCTTTTATAACTCTTTTAGTATAAACCCAGGGAAATTATTTTAACTGAAAATTAATAGTTAAAAAAAATGTGAATATTACAAAGTAAGTTGAGAGTAAAATGCAATTTTTAGTTATAATTTTAAATAGCATTTCAATTATTTAATTACCTAAATTAATATTATAGGTAATTCTATAATTACATTTTTTATTTAAATTATACAAAATATTAATCACTATTATTAGATATGTAAATACAATATTTAAAATAATGGTAGATCATAAAATCCCCTAGATAGAAGATATACATATTTGTCATGCAGTTGTTATTAAAAATTAAACTAATAATAATCCATGAAAAGGAATTTATTTGAATGTCATCAATAAATAGTATTATTATTAAATACAACAGAAACAGTATAATTAATATTTTATACATAGTCATAGTCATATCATTTGCATAACTTGAAAATAAAGTACAATATTTACTAAGAGTTTCATCATGTTTCTCGAAAATTTGAAATTGAATTTAATCATTAATGTATAAGAAAAAAAACTTAAGCATAAAATAAAATAATATTATAAAACATGCAAATGAATGTAATAAAAATTACCTTAACGACATTTGTGGAAATATTTATTCCCGAGTATCCGACATTTGTTTCCTCGACCATTTTTTCTAACAGAATTTTACAATATTTATTTTACTTTACTCGAATACAACGTCAAACGAACATCCGTCACTATGAGCACAACATAAACTGGCCTTCCCTCACTCATAAAACCAGTTTTTATACAGCTAACTCATGTAGTTTTTCTACAGCCTTTATCTAATCTGCAAAACGCAATTGTACCGTGTCGATCGAAAGCTCTCAATAATAATATATTCGTACTACATCGTTAAACGTTTTTTCATTCCTTCTATGATTTTAAATAGTAATACTGTTTGCTATCAATATTTCAATTACCAATGTTATCTAATATTTATCTATACATAGTTCCACTACTAATCGACCGCGACGTCAACACGTCATGAATAATAATGAAAAAATGACGTCTTCTAATAAATAGTATTTTGAAACATGAAAATTAGTTTTAATTATAATGAATAAAAATAGCCATGTATATTCTAGAAACATAGTCAGATAGGTACAATATTTATGTAAAAAATAAATCGTTTTATCTTTATGCGCAGTTAGTGCCAATGTTCTATTATAGTTTATAAGGTTTCTAGCTCAGCTCAGTAGCTTACTACTTGCTTTTTATACAATTTATTATGAGAATTCTTACCTCTTCATTATAAAAATGTAATTGGTTAAAATTTTGACGACCCAAAACATATTGTTTTTGATATTCAGTCATTATTTAGAACAATTATACTTTTAAACAGAAAATAAAAAACGATTTAACTACAAAATGAATGAATGACAATTCAAATATGTTACTTACACAAAAATATAATAAATAATATAAAATTAGTTTTGTTGAATTATTGTGTTGCTATGATGCGTAATAATATAATATTTGATTTTTTATTAATGAATACAAATAAACAGAAATAGGTACAGTATTCATATAAATTAATACGAAATTCTATTACGCCATTGAGGTAAATTTACGAGCAAAATAAATAATTATCATTCAATTTTAGGTGGTGAACTGGTGACTACAGTATTTTTGGTCCCTTTCCTAACAAGACGAACGCCAAGTCATTGTTATGTAAAAATGTATAGGTATTTATTTTGTTTTATAAAATGTATAATAAAAATATAATAAAAAAAATTATTATTGCGATGTAAATTATTGAATTTGTTCACCAGGTACTAAATCTAGATCGTCATTTGAAGTCATTATTATGGTACTCTTGAGAATTATGATTCCAAACGGTTTTGGGCCATGGTACTTGAATTATAGACATTCTAGAAGTTCTATTATAATTTAAAAACGATTGTTTTTACGTTCAAATGTAAAATGTTTTCCCTACTAACTACGGTGCATTATTCCCTAATAAAAATTCAAAATTATAATAACTAAAACCTGATAAAAGTACAATTAGTGTGCCTATTGCCTACTGCCCGGACAGATATTTTATTGGAGTAGACGCCGCTAATTAACTAAGAACACGGATAATTGATACAATTGCGTTATTGAAACAAAATGCACCGGCCATATATTAGAACATTGAAAATAAAGTATTTTAGTTTTAAAAACTATCATGGTGTCATTTAACACGTTTTAGTTACTAAAAATATTCAAATATTTAATAAAAAAAAATCATGCTTGAACTTTCCACCGTAGTTTAGACGTCCCGACGACGGAATAATTATTCATAGGCAATGTTAAATAACTGGAAAGTATAGCTACTCAATGTCGAATTTAATTAAACTATACACAATACACATAAGCATATTTCAACTCTAAAAAAAAGTGTATTGCGTGGCGAAGCCTAAATTTGTACTATAGAACACATTTAGTATTTAGTAAACACTATTCACTATTAAATATTTGTTTATTCATTAATATAAAATATATATGTTACCTATTTTATAACTAACTGTGATTATTGGAAATTTTTTAACCGGACACGAGGAGAAGGAGAAGACTATTAAATACGTTAGTATATTGTATGTATAAAAATATATATATATACAGTACAAAGGTGTTATGGAATTACATAGGTTCATACACAAAATAATATACGTCTAATTTATTTTTAATTGTACGTGAATTATATCCGAATATCTGATTATTTACTAAGAATAAGTAAGTCATATTACACACAATTATTGTGTTTAATAGTATTTATAATCAATGGTATTACTTATGTAGTACGAAATTTGAGAAATTTTAAACACCGCTGATGTTTTGAGTAAAAATTAAAACAAAAAATAACAATCAATTAGACGATATAGTAAGTACTTTACAAATACCACACATTTAGTCGTCTAATAAATTATAATTTATGAGAACTAATTTATACTAATTAAATTACTTTTTAATCGGTGACTATTGAACTAACATATTATTTGTAAGCAATAAATGTTTTTTAAAACAATTATCAATAAAAATATAATTTTCACTTTAACGTTATTCTTTATTATACTTGATAATACAAAAAACAAATATTTTAATTTAAATTGAATAGTGATTATGAATAAATTAGTATCATAGATCTGAAAACTTAATGTACAAAAATGTAGGTAATGAAATTACAACTATAGGCATTAAAAGTTATTGAAGTACCTACCTAACTAATCAAATTATAAAAATCTTGTATTATGTAAATAATTTAATTTATATTTATATATTTTTTTTTAAATACAAGTAATACGATGATGTTTTTTTAATAAAATTTGAATAGAATCAATACATTCAATATATTTTAATGGATTCCACAACAAATTTAAAGTATTGGAATAGTTTTAAAAACCTTGGGAAAACAGCGGAAATCAGGAGCCTAAATATAGCAACAGCTCCCCCTTCGTAAAAATAGCGAGAATCAAGTATTCAACTACCTACTATTGTTAGTTGTTATTACATTAAATTGACATATTTAAACATCCAAGGTTAAGTTACCTGTTTTTTTTTCAATAATGACTAACAGTAACCAAATTTTGATATTTGTGACTTATGGTAAATCTTGACTACAAAATGTTCCAAATTAAATTAGATATGCACGAGGTATACACCTCAAAAATCAACTGCATGTTTGGACTGGATAAAATGCTATTTATATAAGTTGGTGTTTACAATTACAAGCATATTATAATGACTATCGACATTTTTTAAAGTTTTTCAAAATTGAAAACCATGATCCAAACACTTCAAACTAATTATAAATTCTAACAAATGTGTACATCTACACTCTGTCTAGCGACAGATCACGCCAATACTGCGCCACCCCGCGTCACCATAATATCGAAACCGGTCCCCGTATGGCAGGGTATCACGTGAGGATGCGCAGAAAAATCGATGTTGATCATCCCGCGGCGCGTTCCTTCGATGGAACTTTTTATATGACATGACAAAATAGATAAATTCTTAATCTTTATAATAAGTACCTATACTTATACTTCCATATGATATATATTCAGACATTCAGAACGTTTCACTTTTTTTTTTATAAATAAATCTGTCCAGTAACATAGGATTGAAATGGGATTTTCGGGAGAAGTTGAGTAAAGCTTACAATTACATATTTATTGACAATTTTTTAATGTTAAGCACTTTCATTGTGCGCATGCGCGATACAACTTTTAATTTTTTAATAACAACACCAAATTTTTTAAGTCATTTTGACCTTTAAGCCATGGCTTTAACACAAAATTGATTGAATTACGTGTTAAAGTCAAGTCGAAAATACGTGAAATCTCATGAGTAATTTGGAAAAATCACAATATTATTGTCGACAATTGCAACTATAAATCGTTGCAATTCAGTCAATTTTAGTTTTAAAGTCATGGTTAAAAGGTAAAAATGATTTTAAAATGTGTTCTATCTACATAATATATGGTGTTATCATTTAAAAAGACAAGTTGCATATCAGGACAATGATAGAGCTAAATTTGAAAATCGTCAACAAATTTATCTTTAGTTTTTTTTAAATTTTTTATTTTATAATAAGATATATTATGAAAAAAAATTTTGAATTTTCATTTTTAAATATTTTTACGTATTGCGAATAAAATACCAAGAGGGTGGGGGTTAAGCACCCAACCTCCACCCCACCGTGTGTACGCAAATTGGCGCCTTGGGTGACTAAAGGGAAAATGACCAGTGAAGACTGAAAGCACTTTGAGGTTTAAAATTTAAAATTTAAATAATTGTATAATATAAGAGCTTACAAAAACTCGTTTTAGGTTTTTACTTTTTACTGAGTTAAGTATTTGGCTTATTCTTATGCAGTCAATACAAATTAATTTTATTTTTAACTTTAATTAGTCTTTACTAATTTTTGGTGGTTGTTGTAACTGGTAATATTTTGCATTAATCAATATATTACTCTACCTGATGGCTTATTAACAACTAATTATTATTTTGTCATATCACATGGAATGTATTCTAGAAATAAACTTTAAATTATTTAATAGTTAGTGTGAAATTATAATTAATATTTATCTATAAATGTTTATTTATTCACACAGATAATGTAATTAAATTAAGAGAAAAAAAGTCATAGTGAATTTTAGGAATGCATTGTTGAGGATGTAGAACTTAATAATATGTTTTAATAATTTTTGTACTCTTATTGAGCTTGACATAACACTTTTAAACTTAAAATAATCAAAATCAACAAAGCATTCTACATTATTGATTAAACCTATTGAAGTGGGTCACATGACATACACATGTTACAATAAAAATATATAATCAAATATTATTCTCATATAAAATTAAATGTAAATTTAGAAAATATAAATTGTCTCCCAGATACAATGCTACCTTTTCATTAATTGTTAAATATTATGATAGTAATATATATATATATCTTGAATGTTGATGTACTTGCATACAGTGGTAGCAAAATCATCAAAAAGACATTTTATGACAAAAAAAACTTAAGATCATCCACCACCATTCAACATAAATACATTATATTCTACCAATTTACTTATAATTTACTTTTATCAAATTATTCTTCAATTTACCTATCCATAAAATAATTTGAAAAATCTGTATATTTTTAAAATTATAATTCTATTGTATTCATGTAATTTGGATTAGTAGGTAATAAAATAATAATATTGATGATTGATTTTAAGGTAAATAGTAAATACATGAACAAAATATTCAAATCTAGTGACAATACACAAAAGTATCATATTAGAATGAAAATATTGTCATCGCCTTATCGAGGCTATCATA